ACCTTACAGGGCATAGGGGCAATATAGGGAACCATTAAAACAGTGGATTTAGTGAGATATCAGCCGGGGTAAGACAAACAACAGTAAATGGACTACAGAAGGACACAAAAGGACACAGGGTACAGTTTATATTATTCTTGGGCTTTTTTCGACTACAAGAACTCAGCGCACCGTGCTGTGAAGTGGTAACGTATTTCAAAGGTTCTGGATTTGTTTACAAATCTAGAAACTAAATACAAAACTAGGACGATATGAAGATCTCATGTCAAAAATAATTGTGACAAATGAGACAGAACTGGCCTGTCTGTGAGCTCATTTTATGTTGGTTTGGTACTTCTGATAAAGGTGTGAATATCTAAATAATATACCACCATATGCTATTGTCATTAGTTGTGTCCCTGTTCTTCAAGCTAAGGCATTGCTAAATTAACAACTCTTGGCTTACAGAGTGGTAACATGAGACCGATTTTTATATATAAAATATAAATATATTTTAATTTTATAATTTATTTTAAATATTAACAATATAATAAAATAAATGGAAATATATACACCGGCAAATATTTAATATAAATACCTTGTGTGTGTGTGTATAGCTATTGCTTTATCTGCTTAATGTTATTTTCATATGAAAGTCCATGATTATAAGTATGCAGTATCATAACTACATCTTTGATGTTTATAAAAAACCAAACCGTTTGAAAATTGGTTGAAAATTGAGCAAGCTATGGTTATTTAAATAGTAAACCATAATGTTATGAATGAGAGCACTGCCAGTAGCAAGATGGCGGCCATGTGGCAACGTCGGTCTCCATTGGCCAGCAGCGCGGGTGAGTCATCTAGTGTTTATATATTATCTATGATCTTGCCCCCTTGGTAAAACAACACGCGGGGGATACATCATTATTTGCACCAGCAACATGGCTGAATATCAAGCACTTTGGCCATGGTCGGCAAGTAATATACAGTACATTCATCTGGCACTCCTGGCAGACTCTCTCCAACACAAAAAAGGGACACAAACTAAAAAAGGAGAATATTGGGCTATTGGCTCTACGGTGTCTCTTGCTCTCGGGTGATATCCACCCGTGTCCGGGTCCCGGCGTTGCTTCCATCGACCGGACAGCTGGCGGCCCGGCCGCCGAGCTCCACACGCCGCCGGCCGGTTTCCGAAGAGGCTGGCTAGCTGGACAGCTAGCACCACCAGCGGGTCTCTGCGGTGTCACGCTGACGGCTGCCGACCTAGCAGCAGGACCTCTACCCACACCGTCGGAGGACTGCGGGTCCACACCGAGGCCTGGTAGCCGAGTAGCAGAGATCCACACACAACCATCTAACCCCAGAAGAGGCCGGATAGCTCCCACACCACTGGAGAGCTGCAGGTTCGCCCCGAGGGCTGGCGGCCTAGCAGCGGAGATTTGCGCGTCGCCGGCTGGCTTCGGACGATGCGGGCTAGCGGAACAGCTAGCTCTGCCAACGGGTCTCTATGGTCTCGCACTGACAGCTACTGGCCTAGCAGCAGGGTCCATCTCCACACCACACCACACAAGTGAATGCATCATTGTTCAGATGCAGTTTAGAACAGCAGTAAGTCCATGAAATGGTTGAAACCAGAACCTCCCACATATAACTGCTGGATTCAGAGAGTGTGGGATATCCACCACATGGAGCAAATAACATTCATTACGCCTACAGAAAAACCCTAACCCTAACCCTAACCATGGTTGGTGATTGGCTAATGGTTACACAAGACAAAACATCGTTATGACATCATAAAGTGGCCAAAATCTGATCAGCTCATTTTCAGACAGGTTTTTATATAAATGGATCAGGACAAAAAGAGAGAGAATCTTTGTTCCTGAAACTTTCAGAGTCTCTTTACACAGAGGGGACACATGTTGATGTAGAAGAGACATGAAGAAGAGGGGACACATGTTGATGTAGAAGAGACATGAAGAAGAGGGGACACATGTTGATGAAGAAGAGACATGAAGAAGAGGGGACACATGTTGATGTAGAAGAGACATGAAGAAGAGGGGACACATGTTGATGTAGAAGAGGGGACACATGTTGATGTAGAAGAGACATGAAGAAGAGGGGACACATGTTGATGTAGAAGAGACATGAAGAAGAGGGGACACATGTTGATGTAGAAGAGACATGAAGAAGAGGGGACACATGTTGATGTAGAAGAGACATGAAGAAGAGGGGACACATGTTGATGTAGAAGAGGGGACACATGTTGATGTAGAAGAGACATGAAGAAGAGGGGACACATGTTGATGTAGAAGAGACATGAAGAAGAGGGGACACATGTTGATGTAGAAGAGACATGAAGAAGAGGGGACACATGTTGATGTAGAAGAGACATGAAGAAGAGGGGACACATGTTGATGTAGAAGAGACATGAAGAAGAGGGGACACATGTTGATGTAGAAGAGACATGAAGAAGAGGGGACACGTGTTGATGTAGAAGAGACAGGAAAAAGAGGATTTTGCATAATACGTGACCTTTAAAATTCCGGCACAATATATTGATTATTTCTCCCAGGTCCCACAGCCGGCTGATGGCCAGCGAGGGGCTTTACTTCAAGCTGGTGCAGCGGCAGGTTCTGGGCATCGAGACGGGAGCAGAGGTCCTCAACCCAACGCAGGAACTCAGCTGGAAATCTGACGGAGGACAGAGGAGGAGGAGGAGGAGGAGGAGGAGGAAGAGCAGCAGCAGCAGCAGCAGCGAGGCGGAGAGAAACATGCGCTACTGAGAATAAAGTGCGGGGTTTAGGGGATTTATGCATATGAAGGGATTCAAATCGCAAAAAAAGGGACGCAAAATGAGTTCAAGACACAGAGAATCACCAAAAGGAAGACAAAATGATTTTTAAAAAGATGCAATGCTACCACAAAGAGACACGGACTTTTTAAAATTATTTTATTTATTCTACTATTTCAACAATTAGACAGTTTATCCACCCGAAAAACACACACAATTATTAGAAGTGAGAGGGCAGAAAGTAGAGTTTATACAGAGGAAGCTACAGGACACTGAAAACACTCCAGGAACTTTGTGATTACTGAACACATGGCATTCAGCTATATAATGTACACTTAGGTAGAAAAAAGAGGTTCACAATGACTACAAAGAGACAAACAATCACACAAAGGGACACTACATGGTACAGAGAGACACTACATGATACAGAGAGACACTACATCACACAAAGGGACACTACATGATACAGAGAGACACTAAATGATACAGAGAGACACTACATCACACAAAGGGACACTACATGATACAGAGAGACACTACATGATACAGAGAGACACTACATGATACAGAGAGACACTACATGATACAGAGAGACACTACATCACACAAAGGGACACTACATCACACAAAGGGACACTACATGATACAGAGAGACACTAAATGATACAGAGAGACACTACATCACTCAAAGGGACACTACATGATACAGAGAGACACTAAATGACTAAAGAAGGGAAACAAAATGAACACAAAGACACTAAAATACAGACAAATAGACACTTAACTGCTGCAAGAGGTGCAAAATGGTCACAATCAGACAGGAAATGAGATATGAAATGAACACAAAGACACATAACCACGGACACATAGACACAACACTGTTAAGAAATGGAGCAAAATGAGTACAAAGAGGTTTAAAAATGCAACCTTTTATTCAATAATCCACCTATATGTAATGTGTCGTGTCAGAATCATCTGTTAAAACACGCAGAGCAGCTCCATGGAGTTTAAATGAAGTTGAATGTATTCAAACATATCAGAGAGGAAATAATACTTGAATAAACTTGATTACTGATATGTTAGCTTTATCATGTTGCTGTTAATGTTCTGTATAAGGTTTGTTTAATGTGTCATTATCGCACTCCAGACTGATCAATGATCCATCTGTTGGTGCTTTCTTGTGTTTTGTTGCAGTAGCAGGTGCTTTGTGTTTATTGTCTGTTTAATTACATCATCATTATTTAAAGGGGACCTATCATGCAAAATGCACTTTTGTACGTCTTTTCTACATGAATATGTGTCCCCGGTGTTCCAGGGAACTCACCAAGTGTCAGAAAACACAACCCTCTCTATTTTCCTCCATACCCAAATCTCTAAAAAAGGGGCTGCAACGGATCTGATAAAAACTGATCCAGATTTGAACACTGTCCTGACGTCAGGACGGTGGCGCTACGGCTATTGGGCCAACTCCACCAATCAGGAGGAGACAGCCACGGCCATTGCCGTTTGAAAGCGCTGGAGACGCTGTAGTACATATGCCAGGCCTGTAGATGGTGCTGTTCTCACTGAATCTGCAAAAACAGGGATAAAAAAAGTGCAAATTGAGCGAAATGAGGCATTTATTTATTTAAATCCCTTTTTATTGTGTGTTTAAATACATATTATTTGACGGAAATACCATCAACTAACACATTTAATTCCCAAATGAATTTATACATTGTGCTGTACAAAGTACTCAGAGGTGGAAGAAGTACCTGAGTAAAAGTAGAAGTACTCAGATATTGTACTTGAGTAAAAGTAGAAGTACTCAGATCTTGTACTTGATTAAAAGTAGAAGTACTCAGATCTTGTACTTAGTATGGACTGGGATAAATATAGCTGGAGTTCTGTCCTAGCAGGTTGGATCATGGACAAACATTTGTATTTGTATTTAGTTACAAAAAGGCAGATTTATCTTAGTTTTGTAACCCTATGTTGGAGTTGAGGTACTGTATTTTCAGACATATTTAAAAAACATTTCAAACATAATTGTTGAAGAAGCATGACAAAGAAAACAGAGACAGACGCAGTGTACAGATGACTCATGCGTTTTGAATGAAACTCAACCTGATATACTGTCATGATGAAGCTCCACCTATCACCTGACTCGCATGTGACTAACCAGGAAACAGGTTGTTATTCTGCCTCGCTGAGACGACACACACACACACACACACACACACACCCACACACACACACACACACGGACTATAAGATTCAACTTCACACCAAACACACCTCTTCCACTGAGAGGACGTCAACAGGAGGGAATACTGGAATACCTTCCACTTCAAGCAGCTGCTGAATCCACACACTGAGAGTTTGACCAGAACAAAGACTCAAAGTGAAAGTAAGTCTCAGGGAACAGGGAGCAGCTGCTGCTGAGTTTACTGCTTCACTCACAGACAACATGGCTTCCAGATTAGAGGAAGATCTCTGCTGTACTGTCTGCCATGACATCTTTAAAGATCCTGTGGTCCTGTCATGCAGCCACAGCTTCTGTAGAGACTGTCTGCAGAACTGGTGGACGGAGAATGTCATCAAAGAGTGTCCACTTTGTAAGAGACCTTCAGTTTATGAACCTCCCTGTAACCTGGTGTTAAAGAACCTGTGTGAGAGTTTCCTACAGGAGAGAGGTCAGAGATCTCCAGAGGCTCTCTGCAGTCTGCACTCTGAGAAACTCAAACTCTTCTGTCTGGACCATCAGCAGCCAGTGTGTGTCGTCTGCAGAGATTCAAAGATCCACAAAAAACACAGTTTCAAACCCATCGATGAAGCTGCTCAGGATCTCAAAGAGGAGCTTCAGGAAACTCTGCAGTCCTTCAAGGAGAAGTTAGAGACTTTTGAAGAAGTTAAAGTGAAGTTTGATCAAACAGCAGAACACCTGAAGGTCCAGGCTCGACGCACAGAGACGCAGATTAAGAAGCAGTTTAAGAAGCTTCACCAGTTTCTAGAAGAGGAAGAGGAGGCCAGGATGGCTGCACTGAGGGAGGAAGAGGAGCAGAAGAGGAGGATGATGGAGGAGAAGATGGAGGCTGTGAGCAGAGAGATAGCAGCTCTTTCACACACAGTCAGAGCCACAGAGGAGGAGCTGAGAGCTGAAGACGTCTCCTTCCTGCACAACTACAAGGCTGCAGTGGAGAGGCTGCAGCGCCCCCTGCTGGAGGATCCACAGCTGCCCTCAGGAGCTCTGATAGACCAGGCCAAACACCTGGGCAACCTCAGCTTCAACATCTGGAGCAAGATGAAGGACTTGGTGTCCTACTCTCCTCTCATCCTGGACCCAAACACTGCTGATCCAGAACTCATCCTGTCTGAAGATCTGACCAGTGTGAGAGGAGGAGGAAAGGAGGAACTTCCTGATAATCCAGAGAGATTTGATAACTTCTCTGTCCTGAGCTCTGAGGGCTTTAACTCAGGGACTCACAGCTGGGATGTCCAGGTTAGAGACAATACATGCTGGGATCTGGGTGTGTTAGCAGAGTCTGTCCAGAGGAAGGGATACATATGGTCTGGATTATGGAGAATAGATTATTATGATGGTAATTACTCAGCATGGTCACCATCAGATCCAGAAACTCCTCTCAGCCTGCAGAAGGAGCTTCAGAGGGTCAGAGTGAATCTGGACTGGAACAGAGGAAAGCTGTCGTTCTCTGATCCTGACACTAACACACACATACACACCTTCACACACACTTTCTCTGAGAGGCTGTTTCCATACATTCGCAATTGGGATGGACCCCCACTCAAGGTGTTACCAATGAAGGTCTCTGTGACTGTAAAACAACAGATATAGATGATGATGATGATGATGATGATGATGATGATGATGATGAAGATGATGATGATGATGACGATACTTGTATCACCTACAATTCTGAGACTTGTTTAAGGCAGGAAGATTTATCTTGAAAATGCTCCACTTGGAAGATAATGTGTAACTCGTCTAAATATGTAAATGCTCACCTGACTAAAGCGAGCGCTGACAGAGTGATCACAGGTTTAGCCAAGTACTCCATGCTCTGGTGCACCACGATGCTGTCGACCGCTTTCCCGTAGTAGTACGGGATGAAGGCCTCACCTGCAGGACAAAAGGACAAATAAATATCATGTTAGTTTCATGTAAATATCATGTAAATATCATGTGAATAAGAGCTGGACACAAACAGGGGTTTCTGGGTCTTAACCGTTCTGATATTTCACATCATCAATTAGCAAGTAAATTGCACAAGATCTGAGTACTTCTAAGTAAAAAAACGTTTTCAAATGTTTTATTTTTTGGGGTGACAAACAAAAAGCAACACCAGGGTAACTTTTTTGTAACCCTTTAAAACAAACTAATAACAAAGAAAATGTTTAAAAAATGACAAAGTAAATAAAACAATAATAACATATGTTTCATAATGACTTCAGAGTTTGATTGACAAAAAAAAGATATTGTCAACTCTATTAGTAGATTGTAATTTATAAAACGTGTAATACATCCAAAATATCTTTCTAGCCACTTAATTGCGAGGATTTGATGCTTTACTTTGTTTTATGTAATGAACATGGAGGATTGAGAACATGTTTGGTTAAAATGGGTCTAATAATGGATATTTTGATATACACCAATAATGATTATGAGTCAAAGTATAATCTGCAGAATAATCAATGATAGCGTTTTAACAATGTTAGGAGTCACTTTAAAGGTGCAGGGACATGTAATGGAGCTTTCTTTTAAATTGTATTAAATGACTTATATGCAATATATCTTCAACAATAAATCCACTTTGCTCTGTCCTGATCTCTCAGTCTGTTTCTTTTATTATGTCTCTGCACATTTTTTTTTAAAAACATCGTTTTTCCTCCTTTTAGTGAATTAGTCGATATCGATATTCGATAGGAATGGATCCAACACATTGTACGTGATACCTGACGTGACGTGGCAAGATGGCGGGCCTCTGTTTGGCTACACCACTCATCTTGCACATAGATATATATAAACACTAGATGGCTCATGGGAGATTTTCCAGCGTAGCTCACCGGCCGCCATCTTGCTACAGTCAACAGCTCTGGTACGCGCTATGGTAGCTGTTGTAAGGTGAGTGATCTGCACAAAAATACTCTTAACTCGCTGAAATCTTGACTGATTTACAAACGGTTTGGTTTATTATAAACATTATTAGCATGGCTATGCTACAGGATGCTTGGACATGTTGAAATTGCAGCTTTTCTTTGTGTATGTGGTTGTATTTATTAGCTGGCTAATAGTGAGACCGAGTATTACAAAGTTGACCGTTGAAGCTGAAAGGATCAGATGTCTACAGAAGCTGAAAGGATCAGATGTCTACATCAACGAGCATCTGACCAAGTACAACGGCGACATAGCCAGAAAGGCTCGCTTCATGAAAAAACAGAAGAAAATTCAGAACACCTGGACAACAAACTGCAAAATATTTATAAAGCTAAACGGAACACCTGAGGAGGCCAAAGTACTGGTCATCAGAAACATGGAGGATCTGGATAAATACCAATAATCTTCATGTTCTGGACCACACATAAGGTAACAAGCACTTACACACAACCATGACTCACACTGAATGGAGGCAATCATCTTCAAAAGGGGAAAATATTAATATGTCTCAGATGATCAAGGAACAAGACCAACTGTTGCTAAAAACATTTGAATACACTGACTATAAAACAAAAGATCTGGATTATGAAATAGACCCGGACAATAATTTCTTCTCTTCTATCATCAACAAATGCTGTTATTACACTGATCAACAGTACAACCAGAGCATATCATCAGAGGGCAAGCTATCTATTATTCACTTCAACAGCAGAAGCATGTATGCAAACTTTAATCTCATCAAGGAATATTTAAATCAGTTTCAACAAACATTTAGCATCATTGACATATCTGAAACTTGGATCACGGAGGACAAAGGCATAGACTTTGAGCTGGAGGGTTATGAACTCAGATACATAAATAGACAAAACAAGGGTGGAGGAGGAGTAGCCTTGTATGTGGACAATACTTTCAAATGTAAAGTGATGAATTATATGTCAACAGTGATTGATAATGTATTGGAATGTATCACGATTGAAATCTGCAAAGAAAAAACGAAAAATGTAATCATCAGTTGTGTATATATGGAGCACCCGGCTCTAGTATTGAGATTTTCAAGGACTGGATGGAGGAAATATTCACAAAAGTGATTCATAAAACAGTTTTCATTTGTGGTGACTTCAATATTGACCTTCTAAATCCAAATAATCACAGCATGACAGAAGAATGTATCAACACAATGTACAGTATGGGTTTATATCCAAAAATTACTAGACCCAGCAGAATCACATCGCACTGTACTACTCTCATAGACAATATATTCACAAATGACATAGAAAACAATACAGTAAGTGGACTCTTAATAAATGATATAAGTGACCACCTACCAGTATTTGCAGTTTATGACAGAAACTATAGTAATAACATGCCGGACAAAGCTATTCAATACAAACGAGTTAGATCAGAGGAAGCAATGAACGCTTTAAAAAATGCCTTACTGGCACAAAGATGGTATGATTTATACAAAGAAAACAATATTGACAGCGCATATGATCAATTCCTGAGAATTTTGTTATCACTATATAATACATACTGCCCAATTGTCAAATACAGTAGAAAAATGAAATATGCAGAATGTCCATGGATCACAAGGGGGCTCAATTGACCAAAAAAAACATGCCATTGGAATATTCATTGACCTAAAAAAGGCATTTGACACAATTAATCATGACATATTAATAAAAAAACTTGAACGTTATGGAATCAGGGGTGTAGTTTTGGAATGGGTAAGGAGTTATTTAACCAACAGGCAACAGTTTGTGAAGCTGGGAGAGTGTTGTTCTTCATATTTGGACATTACATGCGGTGTCCCTCAGGGGTCAGTATTGGGGCCGAAACTATTTATTATGTATATTAATGAAATATGCAATGTATCGACAGTACTCAAGTTTGTTTTGTTTGCTGATGACACTAATATATTTTGTTCTGGGGACAATTTACAGCTACTATTGGAAGAGATCACAGCTGAAATATGCAAACTAAAGTTATGGCTAAACAGTAATAAGTTATCATTAAACTTGAATAAAACAACATTAATCATATTTGGAAATAGCAATACACAAGCATCCATTAAGATAGATGGGATTTTCATTGAGAGAGTTAAAGAACATAAATTCCTTGGAATCACAATTGATGAGAAACTGAGCTGGAAACTTCACATAAAACATATTCATTCCAAAGTCTCAAGAAGTATTGCAATATTAAACAAGGCAAAACAGATTCTTGATCAAAATTCCCTCTACATTCTTTACTGTTCATTGGTTTTACCTTATTTAAGTTACTGTGCAGAGGTTTGGGGCAGTAATTATAAAACTACAACACAATCCCTATTTATTCTACAAAAAAGAGCAATAAGAATTATTAAAAATGTCAGCTATAGGGATCATACAAACCCATTATTCTTAGAGCTAAAATTATTAAAACTGTCAGATCTTGTTGAATTCCAAATCGCACAAATCATGTTTAAGGCAAAAAACGTTCAATTACCTCGGAATATTCAGATATTGTTCAAGGGAATTATTATTTACGGGGTTCATTTATATTCACTAATGTTAGGGTGCGCACAACAAAGAGAAGTTTTTGTGTTTCTGTTTGTGGGGTGAAGATCTGGAACAATTTGAGTGAGGAGCTAAAGGGATGTCCAAACATAAAACTATTCAAAAAGAGGTATAAAGACACAATTCTCACAAGGTACATGATAGATGAAACTGCTAAACCATAACTGTTTATATTCTTGTTTTGTATTCTATTTATGAATTTGTGTTTGTATGAATTTGTGTATGTACATATGTATATATATAAATATATAGAGACCATTGTCCTAATTTGCCTGCATATATTATATGAATGATTATATAAATTATTCAAGATTATAAGTATACGTTTATATTGTATGTTAACATATATTAACCTCTTACGCACCAACCCCCCGGTACCGGGCAGATAAACGCGTCATTTGCAGGAAACAACGTCTAAGGAATCTTAATATTTAATAAACTATGAATGTTTTATATCCATGTAACGGGAAGAAACTCAGCTACAGATGGGGCATCTTATTTCGGACGCCAGCATACAGCTTCCTGCCTACTACCAGCCAGTTACCTGCCTAAGACCTGCCAAAGACCAGTATCCGGGAATGTTAAGCCCTCCCACTATTTTCCAATTTCAGGGTTTAACCAGGAGATGGCGCTATATATTAAATAACTATGGCCAAACTAAGACTTAGTTTTTCACAAGAGAAAATGCAGATATTATATAAAAAACTAAAGTTAAAATCTTGTTTTTAATGCCCCAAGAGCAATAAAAACACTTGTTAAAAAAATCCTGAGTGAGGCTTTCATAAATTGCATTTAGCTGACGCTTTTATCCAAAGCAACTTACTATTTAATAAATGATAAATGATTATTCATAACAAATATGAGTGATGTGTGATTATTATTCATGCTATATACTGATATAGGGCTAAGTAAGCAATCAATCCTGCAAATGAACCCTTAGTTGTTCAATATATTTATTCAGACAATGTGAGTAGAAATACAGAAATTCTGCTCCCACCTAAGGCCAACAATATTACAACATTTCCCTAAAAACTTACCAAAACGTAAACATTTTTAAAACTCTTTCATTTCTGCTCCAGAGCAGTTAAATTGGGATTTGATATGTGGGGGGGTTCTGTTAGAAGGTGCGACGGGGGAGGGTGGAGAGAGTTAGACGCTCGTGAATTGTCAACGGTGGGGGGGCCTCTCTGCACGGAGGAGCCGCGGAGAAGAGACACACGTTCACTAAGCCGAATCACAGTGATCTGCTATTTTAAAGTAAATTCAACACATATCGACCCTAAATATAGCATATATTAAGAACGAGAAAGTGTTAACATCGTTTTTTGTAAACATATGACAAATGTGCGAGGGTGATGACATCAGAGCATCGTCCTATGGGCTTAGCCCCGGACAGGTACAACAGGTAGTCACTCAGAGGGGGGTAGGGACATGTCAAAAATCAACATACAGTACTTCCTCCACAAAAAGCAGCCTTCTGTTTATTCAACGTGGTGGGGGCCGAAGGAACCGGGCAGAGTTTTTCGCCGGTCAACGTGTGTGAAAGTTTAAATCTTCCTTATTGAGCTTTAAAACAAATGAATAACGACTATATATAATAATAAAATAAACACCGGCATTAAAAAAAAAGTCATGAAAGAGATAAGGGAATGCTCTGGTTTTTGGACAAAATTAACATGGGATCACTCCTGTCACCGGACGTACTTCGTCTCACTGGAATAGTAACGGTCATAGTGAATATAAAATCGTCCCCATGTATCCGGCCAATGACGGGAGAGTTTTGAAAGAGACAAAACACTGTTCCATACATTTAAAAACACTTAAACAATTAAACAATGTTTACCTGCCAACAAGCAGCAGTGTGCTGTCATTTCAAACATGTTACCCCACTGTTTAACACAGTTTTACCTGTGTTTTGAAGACTCTTTCCTGGGTCATTCTGTGCTCCAATGTGTCCTCTTTCTCCCCCCCTGGGTGTGTGTGAGACAAGTCAAGTGAGTCAGGCTGCCAACAAGCAGCAGTGTGCTGTCATTTCAAACATGTTACCCCACTGTTTAACACAGTTTTACCTGTGTTTTGAAGACTCTTTCCTGGGTCAATGTGTCCTCTTTCTCC